TTTTTTTTTATTGAATCAAACCGCCTTCCTTTGCAGGCTTTGTTCTTTCAACAGTTAAGCTATTTAATGTATGACGTTCATGTTAAGACAGCTCCTAAAAGTCTTCTCGATAAGTTTGCGAAAATCAATACAAAACATCATTATAATACGCGATTATCTGCAAAAGAATGTTTCTCTGTCAAATTCTCTAGAACTGAAAAAATGAAAAAATCTTTTACTATAATTGGTGTGTCTATCTGGAATTCTATTCCACTTTCAACATATCTAATTTTTGTAAAAAAAAAATTAAATCACTACCCCTTAATGTTCTAGGTAATAAAGATAATTATTTGAATGTGAATTATTTAATACAATACTTTCTTAAGTTAATCTGATAGGAGGTATATACCTCCTTTTGTAATTTTAGTCCTTTTGAAATAACAAAATCCCCTGTACGTGAATTTATGTGTAAGGTGTTTCTTTCTGTATGTTTTTGTATTTCTTTTCTTTTCTTTTTTCTTATGTACTTTTATAACGTCTTCATTTAAAGTCTTGTCTTGCCTAGATTAGCATTATAGCTTTTTGCAGGACATAAAATTGTAAACTTTATATTTCTTGAAATAAATACATTGTTTTTATTTGGTATTTTATTGGCATGTGGTTTTATTCCTGAAGCCTAGTGATCATTGCTTTTTGAAACTGTGTGTGAAAGTTTAGATTGCAACTTAAGAAAATTAGCAAAGAGAGTTTTACTAGCCCTACTTGGCCAATTTGGGTCCTTTCTCTTCTTATTCTGGGCTATTCAGAGGGCACTTGCATTCAATTTTGCGGCTTTGGTGATCATGAATACCACAATTGATGATGTCCATACATTCTGTGCCATGGTGACCATACAATTAAGTGTGGAGTCATGAAAATTTCCAGCTATCACAGTTATCTACAAAGATGTGTTGCTAATTTTCTTTTTAACTTGTGAAACTATTCAAAACTGTTCTAGTGAGCACTCAATGTTTTTCAATGCAATCTTTACTGAAACAGGTACTTACAGTGTTTATATTACAGTAGACAATATTATGACAAGTGCTTACAACTTGAACAACACGTAAAAACATTGAAACGCTACCTGTTATGCGATGTGCATTGCTTGATACATTTACATGAAAAAAAGATAAAACTATGGAAAAATGAAGGAAATTTTCTTAGGGCAATTAACCTTTATTTGAGTAGGTGGTGACCGGAAGGTTTGTACGGTCTGTGTGGGGGACTTAAAAGCAAAGAGAAAAAACTCCCTTTGTTTAAAGTTATCTCTTAGTTATAGTCCCCCGACATTAATTTTAAAGATGCTATTGTCAAGGCTATGTCAATGTGCTGTTTTGTATAGCCCTTCCTTTATGCCTCCGTGATGAAGTCAAAGGTTTAAAACATGAAAAAAGTTATTTTTCTGGCAGCCTAATTGTAGTTTTACAGCAAGAAGTCCAAAAGGGTGACCTCCTGTAATTAACTCAAATTCTTTCATGCAGACATTAACCAATCAGAAGTTGAGGACAGTTTCCAGCTGGCTTCTGATTGGATTAAATCTGTAAAAAAGAATGTGAATAAATCAAAAGCGGTCACACTTTTGGGCTCCTTGCTTTAAAAGATTAAGAAGAAAAGATAACAATTTAATGGCAGTCAGGTGGTGGGGGTGATAATCAAAGGGAATTGGGCTTTCTGAGCAAAAACTATCGACAGAAAGACAGTAAGGCATAAACAAACATTACAGTCGCATGATTATTCTATAGCTCAAGAACTTTACTAGGAGTTGCTCTTTGGCCCTCTTTGGTGAAGCAGGACAGAGCCACCTGTCCTGAGGTTTCCCTGGTGGACATTTGCTTGAGGGCTTTCCCCACTTCTTCAGTCGTCGGGAGAGAGTGAGTTCCAGGTTCACCAGAACCTGTGAAAGGTGTTCAATGGCTGTGTATTTCATTGTAGAGGGGCGGTTGAGGACACTGTCAAAGTGTTCAGCTTATCTCTCCAGGATCTGTTTCTTTTCAGTGAACAGGGTAGTTCCAACAGGTCCAAGGACGGGGGAAGACCCAGGAGATTGAGGTCCGTAGACAGCTTTAAGAGCGTCATGAAACCACTTGGTATCATGCCGGTCTGCATAGCCCTGAATTTCATCGGCTTTGGCACTGAGCCAGGTGTACTGCATNAATAAATCAAAAGCGGTCACACTTTTGGGCTCCTTGCTTTAAAAGATTAAGAAGAAAAGATAACAATTTAATGGCAGTCAGGTGGTGGGGGTGATAATCAAAGGGAATTGGGCTTTCTGAGCAAAAACTATCGACAGAAAGACAGTAAGGCATAAACAAACATTACAGTCGCATGATTATTCTATAGCTCAAGAACTTTACTAGGAGTTGCTCTTTGGCCCTCTTTGGTGAAGCAGGACAGAGCCACCTGTCCTGAGGTTTCCCTGGTGGACATTTGCTTGAGGGCTTTCCCCACTTCTTCAGTCGTCGGGAGAGAGTGAGTTCCAGGTTCACCAGAACCTGTGAAAGGTGTTCAATGGCTGTGTATTTCATTGTAGAGGGGCGGTTGAGGACACTGTCAAAGTGTTCAGCTTATCTCTCCAGGATCTGTTTCTTTTCAGTGAACAGGGTAGTTCCAACAGGTCCAAGGACGGGGGAAGACCCAGGAGATTGAGGTCCGTAGACAGCTTTAAGAGCGTCATGAAACCACTTGGTATCATGCCGGTCTGCATAGCCCTGAATTTCATCGGCTTTGGCACTGAGCCAGGTGTACTGCATAGAGAGGAGCTTTGTCTGTATCTGGCTGTGCAGGTTGGTGAAGCCAGCATTTTTAGCTTGGCTGAAGAGGACGCTCTGGTGGGCTCAAAGGAGGTGACACTTTTCCTCCAGTAGTACATTATTTGCATTACGGCATCATTTCCCTCAAACCAGTCCCGGTGCTTCCTGGTGGTCGGCCTGAGGACTTTGAGGGCAATAGAGTGAACTGTGTCCCTAAAGGAGGCCCACGCTTCTTCAATGTCATTAGAGAGGGTGGGCAGGTTGGAGAGTTTCCTGTTCATGGCTTACTGAAGATCATTCACAGTCTCAGTGTTTTTCAGTTTTGTCACATTCAGTTGCTTGGTGACCTTTTGCCCTTGAAGCCTTCTCTTTAGCTGAAAATGGAGACCTTTGAGTTTGGAAATAATGAGGTAGAGATTACTCCAGCATTGAATGTCACGCATCGCCTTTGTCACCCCCACCCAAATTTAGTAAGCTGACTGATGGTGAACAATTTGATTTGATATTTTGTTTACCTTCAGTTAGCTACTTAATTTGAATACAAGTTGCAAGATACGTGCGACTAAATGTTTGCAGCGGACAACAGCTTTGTATCAGTACAAACTGTTTAACCTATTCCCATTTTGCTCAAAAACCTTGGAAAATATGTGTGATCGAAATCAGGGATTCTTTTTTTTTTCTCGCGACATGAGCAACCTCCTTTATGATTATGACTCTGTCCTTTACAATGTGAGTGAATAAATATTCTGCTAAGGACTCCGTCTATTTGATTTTTGCTTGATCGTAACCCTTCGCGCTTTTCATTACACGTGGCCGAATCTGTAGTAAGAGAAATCCAGAAAACCAAGCGCAGTGTCATTGTTCTTTTTTTTAATCTTCTTCTTGTAGCGAGTCTCAGATCTCAGTTTAGTTTAGTGTATCTCTGTGTTCAGTTTGTATTTCCTGCGGCCGCCCTTCATGATCATTTCTTGGTGAGATGAATAAGTAGATTGATCGCTCTGTGGTCTAAAGGCGTTTATATGCGCTCCTTGCATTTCTTTTGTGAAACAACCCTAATAAACCTTGAACAGCTTTTTCTCGTCCATTGATAAATGAAGACCTCTTTTTCTTAACGATCATGGGATCCTATACGTCTGAAATAATTGCAGTGGTCAATGAAGGCGCAAAAGTACGGGACACAGGTACAACATTAATGGGCTTGCCTGACTTAGCTTCTGATGGCTCACCTCTTTTTGCGGAACCTATATTTCTCTTCGGATGTGCGTTGTGTAACACTTCAACTTACTGCATGTTAACCTTATGACTGAGTTGCGTGAATCATGCTCTGCGTGGGGAATTTCCATTACTCCACAGACTCTTGAAAGATATTTTTACATACGCATTGTTTTGGCTACCCAGAGTTTATCTTTCCCTTAAAAAGCAGCTTCCCTATTATACTATTTCGTTTACTTGAAACAAACGTTTGCTGGAACCAAAGTTCTTATGCGATGAATGTTCCGTTAACCTTTATAATTTTTTTTGCGAAGGTAATAACACTTTTCCTTAAATGAAAACGCATTTCCCTCTCATCAAATTCATAGGCATTGGAGCTTAACCTGCTCAAAGACTCTGCATTGTTGTGCATCGTAAAGGATTAGTTAAACTATCCTCCCCTCCTCTCCATTCACTTTTAACAAGAAGAAAACGAAAAGCTTCAAAAAAGTGAAGCTGGTATATCGTAAAAGCATGCAAAGCATTATCTTGCTGGATTTTTGAGAAAGTGCCGAACGAAAATTGCAGTCTTTTGACTGAGAAAAAAGACCAAAAGCCGAAGGAAAAATGAGCCCAAAAATCCTCCTAGAAAATAACAAGGAAAGGGAAAATAGAGTGAGCGAAGAGAAAGAAAGAAAGAGAAGAAAAAAAAGCAATGGCTGCACTGCTATTTTTTTACTTCTGTTTGAGAGCCCTATTTTGGCTGTCACATTATTCAGAAATCTAGCTCTGATATATATTTTTCTTACCCTTGCCTAACAGAAATCTGATTTAAAAAGGATATATTTTAAAATCTAATGATTAAGTAAAGGCTCTCATTTTTCAGATTTAAAGCCTTTCCACTAAATTTGTTGTAGTTTTACAGTCAAAAGTTCACTCTATTACTCTGTGAGCCTCCTGTTATTTTGGGGTTCCTTGAGCAAAGCATGGGCTTCCTGTGCAAAAGTCAACCGTGTTAAATATTTAACAGTTTTGAAAAAAAAGAAACACGTCGTTTTTATCACCGAAAACTATGTATCAGTTATTCTTTCTTCCTTCACTTTCCATAAAAGTAAGAAACACATTTTGCGCATTTTTTGTTTGAACGTATAACTTCAACTAACGTGGGTGCCCTGTGTTAAAAGCTCAAAATGCTTAACGCTTAATTTTGACATGTTCCACCAAACGGACTTTGGCGGATTTTTAGTATGTTGCTAGATAGGCCACCCTTAATTAAATGGCGTTGAAAACAATTCTGTTGCAATTAGTTTGATGTTGAGCCTCAAAAATGCCTAGATTGACTGGACTGAAGCCGCAAAGGACAATTAGCTTTTCAGACTGAAGGACAGCTGACAGAAGGGCATCGAGTTCTTTATAGAACTTGTCTTTAGTTTCTTCAGGGTTGGTTATGGTGGGATCATAGGCGCCGATCAACTTGACGGTCACGTTCTTTGCCAGCGGGAGCTGCAGTTTCATCAGGCAGTTTTTCAGACCCTCAGGGATTCTTGACAGCTTCTTTACATGGTGGGTTCTGATGGCAAAGCCAACTCCAGCTTTGCGTCGCTCTTCACTTCTGTGTCCACTCTAAAAAAGGTTGACCACCGCCAATCTCAGTAAGTTGAGCTTTATCAGGAAGAAGCGTTTCACTAAGTGCTGCAATGTCAATTTTATAGTGGGAAAGTTCTCTGGCCACAAGTGCAATTCTTCTTTCAGGTTGGTCTGCTTTGGCATTGTCTAGCAGCATCCTGATGCTCCAAGATGATAGGGTGAGTACATTTTTTCTTGGTTTCTTTGAGTTTCGACTGCTGTGTGGGATCCCCACCAGCCGCAGTATGCTGGCCAGGGTTATGTGTAGCAGACTATGTTTAGGGCACCTTTTCTAGTCCCGTCCTCGTGCTATGAAGATGAGCCGAGCGATCCTGAGAAGGGCTGCTTGGTCATTTATGATTTTAACTTCTTCAGCCATGGTACGGTTGATCACGTTATTTTATGCTTCCTCAAACAACACTTTGCAAAATGACTTGCAGTTGCATTAGGTAGAGAAATAGCATTCGAAACAAAGAAGCAGAAATAAAATATTGTTCATGAACCAAAAACGATTTTACGTTACCTGTGAGGTTACAGGTACTTACACAGAGGGTGAGCCAACTTTTATGCAACAAAAAAAAATGTACTTTTACGGAAAATTGTGTGGGGCGTAGAGAAGGTAGTGAATTTCAAGGACTTTTCACGAACGCTACTAAAATTCAAGACCTTTTAAAGATTATACGAACCATGTTTAACATAATTATTAGAAAGCTTTATTAGCACCAGGTTTTTCGTGGAAAACCGCAAACCTGACAGTGTCACATGACCACGGTCTTCCAGTCGCGTTTGCAGGTCACGTTTGAACGGCAGGAGGGATATCCAGCGGTAAGTGATTTTTCGTTTTTGTTTCTTATACATATAGCATTATAATATTTCTTTCTCTTTTTCCGCCTTTCCCCGCCTCAATTACATTTTTCTATTTGTGGGGGAACATTAAACATCTATTGCACTGTTGATGTGTTCCTAATAATGTTTTGTTGTTGTTACAGCAAGGTTTTTTGTCACTTAAAATTGTACAGCCTCACATTTAAAGGCCTGAAGTGAAGACTTGACGAAAAACAACATGGCAGCACTAAACAATGACGCCTTCCTAAAATTCGAAGTCCCGGCAACACGAAACTGCAAACGCATACTGCAAACTGCAGTTCGTGGTTTGCGTAGGAGGCAAAGTCATAGCTAAGTCAAGACGTAAAGAGCAGTCTACTGAATAAAACATCTGTCAGATATGAGACCAACATCTCTACTATCATAAACATTTTTACAGAAAACCTTTTTCTTGCCCAATCAACGGATTCTTAAAGAAATTCAATCTTGCTATATTGCCAACACTTCATTGTCAACCTCTCAGTTGGCAGCATGTAATTGTTTCCAGTGTTACTGTACAGCAGATAGGATCAATTATTGTAGATGTATATTTCAGCTTATTTTTGGCACATACTACAGACGAACCTGTATTAAGCGGTAACCCTCGGGGAATGGCTAAGTGACCACTTAATACAGGGTGACAGCCTAATACAGGTTGCAAGAAATACAGTTCAAAGAATAGGCAAGTTTCGTATTCCCGACGGCCCTGGGACGAGCACTATTGCGAGGCTAATGCGGGTCAACTTCTTTGCAAAAACAAAATCAAACGTAGGTAATTTGCCACTGAGTAGCTGGAAAACGATAGAAATCTTTAAAACAGTAAGATTTTAAAGCTTTAAAATCTTTACCAGTAAGCCAAAGGGATATCTGTTGCAAACACCAAAATTGTTTG